GGGATCTGAACGCTCAAGTTGGAAAATTCTTCACTAATGAACTACATCTGGGTGGCCAACATGGTGTAGGCTCCCGTAATGATAACGGTGAGCGGTTACTTCATTTGTGTGAAGTTGCGCGCATATTTCTTGGGAGTACTAAATTCCGACAAAGCACCCGCCAGAGGGTGACTTCGCGCCCACCAGCCTCGAACCAGCTGTGAAGGCAAATCGATCAGATTGCGATAAGTTACCGCTGGAGAGACTGCGTCCAGAACTGGCGCTCGATTTGGAGCACATGTGTGAGCACCGGTTATGCACTTGTATGTGCTGAGCTACGGATGCGATTTGGCGGGCGCTCACGACGACGCTGTGAGCGCATTGACACCAGCCAACTGACGAATCCAGCTGTTCTGAATGTCTATCGAAGTACGCTGGCATGCGGGTTGAGTAAGCGCTCACTGGATAAAATGGAAGCTCACCGGTCTCATGTTCATCAGACATTACCAGCAGCAGGCAAATCCACATGTGGTAAGTCTAATCGCCAACATGGACATTGGGTCTCTTCGCAGTCTCTGGAACTTATCGATGCTCACCGGCACATTCCGGCTGGAAGCGAACACAATGAGACTCTCAGAAAACACCGCGCAAAACTCCTTGCGAGTCTAAAAAGAGAGAGCGAATCCTGGTGGTCTCATCGTGCATCCTAGATAAAAATAGCCGCTGACCTTTGAAACCAACATAAGTTATTCCGTCTGATACGAGAAGCGGGTAGCAGGAGACCTGATGTTAATGAAACTATACATGACGAGAGTGGACAGCCTAGCCACAAGTTGACAAGACGCTTGGAGCGTTGGGGTGCGCAACTTGAAAGCAATTTAATCGATCGGAATTGTCAGATATCTTGCCGGCCACTGATCGCCGCGCTCCTTGGGCTGTCGCTTTGGATCTGCCCTCTTGCTCGTAAGTCTAACGTGAGACTGGACTGTTGAAGTTGAATAAAGCCGCGGGACCAAATGATCTTCATGCAGCCGTCTACAAATTCGCGGGCCGTGCTATTGTGGATGATTTACACGAGTAACTAGTGCAAATGTGGGAACAGGAAACTGTCCCAACTGACTGGAGCCGATCCGTCATAGTCCTAATTTTCAAGGGAAGATCACGATCGGAATGCGTATCCATACCTGAATCAGTCTGATCTCGATTGCCTCCAAATTGCTTGCCTCAGCCTTCACAGAAAGACTGGCACTCGTCAGTACCAGATCGGTGTGGATCAAGCCGGGTTTCGTCGTGGTCGTGGCTGCATTGACCACATCTTCACTTTGCGTTAGTTCTAGGAGCACCGTCACACATATTAGCGACCCACCGTTTTCGTGTTCCTCGATATCAAAGGTGCCTTCAATTCGGTGGATATATGTGCCGTTTGGCACTGTCTACGCAGGAAAGTGTGCCCTAGAAATATGTAAGTATTATCCGGGCATTATATGCGTAGCTCGCGCCGAGTGAGGGCTTACGACTAGCTGTCGCTGCCCTTCAATATCTCCAGCGGTGTGAGACAAAGATGTCCGCTGTCACCTATCCACTTCAACTTCGCCATTGACGTATTCATGGAGATCGCGTTCACAGGACACAAGTTAGAAGGTGTGGAGCTGCTCTCAGGCGAGCGAGTTTTTGTCTTGGATTATGCTGACGATATTGCCCTCATCTGTGACATTTCGCAAACGTGCCAAGCGACTCTGGACAGACTAGCACTGGCTGTCCGTCACTTCGGGCTTTGCTTCGCACCATCGAAGTGCAAAGCGTTTCTCCAAGATTGGCAGGGACCGCCTCCTGCGCTGACCCTTGGTGAGGATCAGCTAGAAGTCGTCCAAAAGTTCAACTACCTAGGTAGTTATATCAGCACGGTTGGAATTGAAGACGAGGTCACAAACCGTATAGCAAAACCTCGAGGCGCTTTTGCTAACCTTCGCCACTTATGGCGCCGGCGCGTCATCTCTCTCTCTCCCTGAAGAATAGAGTCTACAATGCAGCGGTTGGTTCGACCCTACTGTACGGTTGTGAAACCTGACCCCTTAGATCAGTGGATATAAAGAGGATAGTTATGTTCGACCACCGGTGCCTTCGCCGTTTGGCTCACCTCTGGTGAGAACACTGAGTGAGCAACTAGCATTTGTGATGTCTTGTTTACAGCGCAGGAAAAGGAAATTAAGCGTTCAGCACCGTTATTTCATGCAACAGGCTCCGTTGGCTCTGCCACTTGTTGCGTATGCCAGCCCACCGACTCCCTCGACCTGCGTTGTTTGCGCGCCGGGAGTGTGGATGGAAGAAGAGGATGGGTGGACAAGCGATGACTTGGTCGAGAGGAATGAAGGCCCATACTTTGTAGCTGGCTTCGGTTGGAGCGTCTCGGCTCCCTGGTTGGGGTCCGTAAGACGATGAACACGTTTGACTGGATACACTTGTTGACATGGCTAGGAGCCGACCTCAATAGCGTTCGTGTTGTGCGTTTCTTTTTCTTTCCCCATCCCTCTTTGTCTCCCCCTCCCACCACGACCTCACTTTTTAGTGTTATATAATTCTGCATACTACTTGTTTTGCTCCGTAGTTGCTGGCTGCTAGCTTACCGGAACGATGCCCATCAGTTGCAGCCAGCACAGCTGGTTTGCATCTGTTGCATTGTTCTCTTTTCTATACATTGCGGCACAGTAGCTAAAATTCTTCCCACCTCTAGCTAACGTGTAGAATGTTGATGATGACTTTTACGAGAAACGCTGAGCGCGTCAACAGACCGACTTCCCGAAATCGGATTCATCAGGAGAGAGCAAAAGGAATTAAAGCGTAAAATGAATATTAGCTTTGGTGTTGATGTTTCGTCGCAGTTTCCTCTGCCAATGAGAATCGGGCTTTAGCGGTGCTTTGCAAGACTTTCGCTGTTTTGTGGAAATACACTAGTCGATTCCAAGTGTAGTGGCTCTTTCTCCCACCACATATATTGTCTAAAAGCGTGCATCCCGTTGCTGCTACAGCACCCGGGAGCTTGTTTATAAATGTGCATACGGACTCTAATGCAGCGGAGGGAGACACCAATAGGTGAGTCTCCTGCGACACGTTTTGCATAGCGAAAACATCCTAAAGGAAAGTATTGCTAAATGTTAATACTTTTGGCGAACTTTCCAGTTAGCTGGTTGTACCCTCTGTTTTTCATTCGTAACATGACATAAATAATGTTTAAGCACATGTTTGCTGAGGGTGGGTACACAAGTTGCCTACGCGTTAAGTACTGAATACTAAACCTCAATAGAAAGTAGGTATACACGTGTGTTGCTTTAAAGAAATTTCATCGGACATACGCAGAATAATGTAATACATTGTAGTTCATTTCCAACCGATTTCAACTGCGTAAACTTCTATTTAGATGCGATGCGCTCCCGAAATTAGTGCCGCAAAGTGGGTGTCTGGGAATTTTTGAATTCCGACACCGATTCACTCTCCGGCAAAATGTTCTAATATTTCCCCACTCGGCGTTCGAAACATTGAGGCGAGCTAAATGTTTCAGCTCCTGTACTACAACCTTATGGCCGGGCCGGCGTGTACATCTTGGTGCGCGCATAGGGAGTAATGCCTTTAACGTAGGAAAATAACTAGGATATAAAGTTATGAAGTATAATCAAAAGCAACGATACGTCAGGGTGCAATGCGCTTATCTCTCGCATCGGTCTTCATATGTCCCACAGCGTAAACTGGATATGAGACTTCTAGCTACATGCTGAACGAGTTCCAGCTTTTGCACCTAACCCCAGGGGAACAGACACTAGGCGGAAGAGTCATACTGTAACACTGGGTTTTTTCTGATAGAAGAGAATAGGCTAGTGACACTCTCTTCAGAGTGAGGCTCCCCAATTCATAAAAATGCGTTGGCTCAAAAGAGAACTGGTCAATCACCATACGAAGTAGGTAGGGATTTCTGATAACGGAAAGCCTTAAGGATACCAGCAACGGCCGCTCAATATAGGATGTGAATTGCTGATGTAGCTTTCCAGTTAAGTGCTATAGCCCCAAGCTCCTGAGTTCGAACCCCACTTCTGTATGGGTTCTGATTCCCATGCATCTCCTCAACCCGTGTACAAGAGTTCATAATTGTATGGTAATGAGAAAATCGTTCCTTAATTTTGTAGTTCTGATGTTTGTCTAACAACTACGCCATAGGTTCGAGTCCATGGAATGCTGTCTCCGAATCGGTTGTTTCTGTATCCACGCTATCCATATTCAAAAGTCGGTTGCACGACGCACTCCGCCATTTACATTTTGTTACTTGACGCTACTCTTCATCCTACTTCCGGGAAATACCTTGGATTTAATTTTTTTTCGCCTACTGAAGCTATGGAAATACTCGAAGTGCAGGGCTACTGCATTACGTACGATAAGTCCATGCTTTTGACAGTAGAACTAATAACCTCATTCGTACAATAAGGTTTTTCGATAACTCACCAGATTACCCAACGGGGCTTGTAAAGCAGCGCTTCTTAATCAGAATAGTGTTATTGTTCATTGTTAATGGCTTTTAGTGCCTTTGTATTAACCCGGTCTGCGTATAGTCGCATCCGGATGTATGGAAACATAGCAGTAATAAAAAGTTTGTTCCGTTGGTGTCATAGGTATGGGCACATTTCGTTGCCACTGCATCTTCGTCCGAAACGCTTATCACGCGTAACACCTACGATCAATAGCGACTTCACTTGCATTTAGGTCGGGTTCCTAGCCAGTACCCAACATCTGTCCTTTTATCTGGAGATTTTCTTGTTCCAGGATACCCAGTGAGGTGCATCCTCATGTAAATATGCACGCGGCAGTCCCCGAGCAGCCCCAGCATACCATCTCATTTATTTAATTTTTAGCCACTCGCACAATTCTACCTCGTTTTAAATAGGCATCAAACACATGGTGGATTGAGTCCGACTAAATTTAGTTTGATGGAAAGGCATAAAAAGATGTTGTAAATACAGTTCACAACGTTGACTCACCAGGTAGAGCATTTCTCAGCTCCGATTTCAATTCATTCTCACGTTGCATACCGTAGGAAAAGCCTGCTTGCGGTTGTCCTGATCGTAACTGCAAACTATTCTCTGTCAGACCACCGTTGCATAATTGTAAGTGCTCCAGTGACGTGGGTAAGTCTCCCGAAGTCACTCGTCGATTGTACCCAGCAGGTTGCGGGGAGGTCAACGGATGTCGGAGACTAGCATTCACAGGTGCACCGGTCCGCTGGCCATTTGGCAGAAATGTCGCGTGGTATGATAATGTGTCCCGGCAAACCCCGTCGTCCCCCACCCGAGTCAATTCAAATTCATCGCTGCCCCAGTGAGGGGCAGCAGCCGCGGCAGTTGCGGGCCTTATGAGACAATCAGGATGACCGTAAGTTACTGGACCGTGCTGGTGTATGTAACTCATCACATCAGCCGCGGCAGCCACTGTCGAATCGATCGACGAGGTGGTCAATTCGGTTGAATTGTCCTGTGATACGTGATCGTGCGAGCTAGGAAGCTGCGTCAACATGCGGTAGTTAACCGTATCTCTCGGATCAACCATCGTACTATCCATGGAATTGCATACGAGTTGGTGCTCGCCATCTGGGCGCAACACCGTTTGCTGTGTGTGCTGGTCAGGTTGTTGGGGATGCTGCCGCTGCTGCGGTTGCCGGTGCTGGTGAGACTGATAACGAGGCGTGAGATGTGTCGCAACTGACTGATGTGGATTTGTCTGGGCAGACTGCTGAGAAAAGGATAACGCAGTTTCCTCATTGGTCAGAAACATGGCCGACAAGCGTACGTCTGTTTCTGCTCCATTTTGCCGATTGGTTGTTTCGGAGTGAACAGCTTGGGATACAATATTACTGTTCCCAGCGGCATTATGCATAAGTGGATAGGTGACCGAGAAACGGCAGGGGCTATTAGAGTTGGAGAGCGAATCGTAAACCAGATTGGATGCGCCTGTTAAAAAGGATGCGGTCCGACCGGGTGTAGAGGAAAGCAAGATGTCACCATTGGGATCACTTGCAGGTCCGCCTTCCTGCGTTGCATCGTCAGTTTGCATACCTTCGTCGCTGAAATTCTCACCGTTTCGTACCATGTTAGTATTAATGTTTCTGAGATCATTTGGGTTTACGTTATCTCGTTTGTCACTTATTCGCAACACCTGGGGTACCGATCCAGGAACTGGTGTGGAACTGACTTTCATTGTCGGTGTCAACATGGCTATTTCTTGATGTGTTGCCACCGCAGGTGGTTGCAAGGCAGCTGAAATGTGTCGAGGATTGATGAGATCTTGGATGCGATCCTCACGTAACGAGTGGTAATAAATGAACTCCGACATTTCACTGGCATTAAGCGACAAACTCATATCGATTCCGCTTTCAGAAAGCATAGAGTGTGGTTTAGACAAATCCAGTGTGTCCTCGGATGTCCAGCGGGTAGAAGGTGCTTTGGCGAATCGAATGTCGCTCCTGCCGGTTTCCCCACGCAGTGCATAAAGGCTAAACTGCGTGTCCGTGGTTGTGTCCGTGGTCACAATAGTTGAGGGAGGAGAAGGAGGGTGAGTCTTGGGAAGTTGCATAAATTCACCGCTTTCTATGCAGTTCGTCAAGCTATGCGCTCTTTCCAACATACCCTGTGGAAAATTCGGTGCTGCTACTCAATAGGCGAGCGTACACGACGTAGATATAGACAGTTAGCCTTTCGGTCAAATGCACGCAGAGTACAAACGCTGAAGTTCACGTGCTTCTTTCTTAGGCCTGTTCCTATCTGGTGCTCTCGCTGGCCACCACTTGTCATGCACTCACGAACTGACCACGGATTGTGTGCTACGCGTGAGTGCGTAAATGTGTGTGTGTGGGTGGGTGGGTCTGCTCTCAAGCCTATATGCCCACACAGCCACTGTGGATTGTGCAAAAGGCGAGTGAATTCGTTCCGTGCGGTCGATGCGAAATGCCCGAAAAGCAGGCAAAGTGAGAAGTGGCACGGCTCCGCCTTGGCGTTTGCAGTCACCAGAGAAGCAATGGGGCAGATCAACTAAGACTGCTGGTCTGTTAGGATAGTGGCAACCATCACAGTGTAGTTCGTTCGTACGTTGTGGTGTGTCGGTCGCGGCAACACGTCTAGTGAGGAAGTCAATACCAATGATGGGCTTCTGCACATCAGCAATTAGCAAGATGAAGGTGAAATTTCGTCGCAAACCAAGACTAAGTATCAGCAGTCTCTGGCCATACGTCGCAATCTTGGTTTGGTTAGCTGCCTGTAAGGTAATTCTGGATGGTCGCAGAGCATGTTTTTTTAAGGATCGAGGTATAACGCTCACCTCTGCACCAATATCGACCAAAAATGGAGTTTGGTAGTGGAATAGAAAACGTACAAGATGCGACTAATGGTTTGGCCAGCAGCAGCTGTCGCCATCACTGGCTGGCGTTGTCGTTTCCCTGCCGAGAATTCAAAAACGTCTTCGGGTATTTACAACCTGGACGACAATTACGAGCAGCATCGCCGAAACGGCGGTGGTAGTAGCAGTATGATCGCGATCGGCTGGTGCGGGATTGACAACGGCGGCCACTCTTTGAGTTGAATCTACGGTTAGCAGGTCGTTCACGACCGATGTGAGACACAGCGAGATCTAAGCGCGAGAGTCGTTCACTAATATCGTCAAGTGCGGTACTTCCAGATGGACTAGTGGAGCTCGGTCCAGTCACATTATTCACAGCAGATTTAAAGAAGCTTTCGTGGACTTTATCGGCCGCTTCGGCTAGTTTGTCCAACGGAAGCTTATCAGCGAGGACTGCTAAAATTGTCGTGGTGTTTGTTGGAAGCCACTTAGTCCATATCTGTAGGAGGATGGAATCGTCCAGGGTTGAGGAACCCACAAGTAAACGCATGTGCCGGAGGAGTTGAGACGGGCTGCGGTCTCCAAGCTCTATGCCTGAAAGTAGCATGTGTAGCCGTGCTTCATCGGAAGCCGTAGTGCGTTTCAGAACGGCTGATTTCAGCTTGTCATACGGCGATTCAGTCGGCATCGGATCAAGAATATCGATCACCTCCGAGGCTGTCTGTGAAGGAAGAGGAGCGGTGACGTATGAAAACATCGATGGTTGCGAAGTGATCTTTCGAAATCGGAAGATGGCCTCCACCTGAATAAACCAAACACGAGGGTTTGAAACCTCAAAAGTGGGTAACGAAAAGCCAATTGAGTTTTCACACGACTCACGGGGAGCAGCGTAGTCAGACATAAGGAAAAAGAGAGAAAAGTAATCAAAAAATTAAATAGACGGGGTCACCAAATATAGTGTCTGACAGAGAGAGAGAGAGTTATAACCGCTGCGAATAGGACCTTAGCACGATTGCTCACGGTCAGATTACAATAGGTAAAAATCAACAAACTTGTCCGATGACACGCACGGAGGAATGGAACGCTGTAGATAGAGATCCGACAACCGATGCGATGCACACACAACACTCGAAGGCGGCACAACATCACGGAAACCAGAAGACGAACGAAATTCGAAGGAGAGTATATATCTTGTTGTGAGTTAAAACAAATATACAAAAATTGACGGAAGATAGAAAAGGAAGTTACAAGGAAAAATGTGAAGAATTTATAAACACTACAAGGGCAATCGATAAGAGGTACATAAAAAGGTCGCTATCTATTTGGCTAACGCAATACCGTACAGGAAGAGATAAATCGGATGAGTACGTGTAAGCTCACGACGATCCATAAGCATAAAAATGTCATGGCCATTAATTTTGATTATCTGTGGTATATGTTCTCACCGAAGGAACAATTTCATGGTGTCTCATCCTCGGGCGATAACCAGCACCCCTGTGGGCCATCACGCGCCAGGAAGAGGGGATGGACCGTAGACTGGGAGGGATGGAACCACACATCACCGCCAATGGAGGTGTAGCGATTGTACATAGCTCTCTTCCAAATTGTATCTTACTATTCTCATTTCCATTATTATTGTGCAGTTTTGTTTTAACCGACTAAGAACCGATAAAATACTTTTTCGGGGTTCCATTCACCTTCTGGTTTCGGTTACGCGTGTTGTGCTGTTAATCGTCGTCGGTCTGTTAGCATCGTTCATTGATCATCGGATCTAAGGCGTCGAAGTATTGTGCTGACTAAGTTTCGTCTTCCGACCGGATTGTGCGAATAACTGACGGCCTACCGAAGGTCGTGCTTTACAGAAGGTCAGGTCTAGCATGCTTATTGATAGACTGAGTTCTTTTATATAGTTAAGTCCTTTTAGTTTGGCCTTTCCACTACAGAGGTTTGAAGTATTGAAAAAGCTCTTTCTTGCTGTTTTTGCTCTCCAAATTAACTTAAAATATTCCATAGGGACAGAGGGTAAAAGGTTTACTCCGTCCCGTGAGTTATTGGATCGCCGAACCTTGGGGATACGAATCCCTCGTTCTGTGCTTCCGTCCTGCTTTCTTCGTTAAGATCGCGTTAGTTCGTTCCAATATTTACTCCTTTTGGTTATTCCCTTCAGTCGTCTTAATTCACTGCGCTTACTGTTGTGTTTACTATGGCTGTATATTGTCTTGCATTAATTCCTTACGACTATCTATGCATATTTATCTGTTATACCTGCATTTTACTGTTTTGCTTTTTTGTTCGTACTCCTGAGGTCTGATACTTACAAATTCATTTATCTGTTGCAAACGTTAGTTGTTCTACCGATCGTTTTGAGAACTTTAAATCATAAACAAGAAGGTTAGCTATAAATGTAGCGAGAGCAGTTGCGGCATTACCCTCAAAGACAGAATTCAATGCGACAGATGTCTGTTGTGGCACCACAACTGTTCTAGGTTAGTGTAGGAGTCCATTGATCTGTACGCTCAACATCCCCAATCGAAGTGGATTTGCTTCCACTGTGTATCTTTAGCGAATACTTGTGCTCACCTTGTAGAGGGTAGATTACTCGATCCATCTCCGAAGACCGCTAAGGTGCAGGACAATATATATATTCACAGTCTATTAAAAAACGTTGTGCCATCAGAACCATGGCAAAAGGAAAAGATAGAGAAAATAGCAACACGAAATGGGACAAGAAACGGAAAACGATATTTTTGGGTTTACGCAAGCCATTTTGATTTGTTTGTTTTGTTTTGTGAGCTTTTTGTGTGCATTAAAGGGGGGGTAAAATGACAGAACAACATTCACGCAACTGATGTCTATTGCGGGCCATGACATCCAATTTTTGTAACCACTGAGATTCAGCATTTCGTGGTCCCCAAGCTGGAAGACGGACTGGTCCGACTGCTGCCAAACTTGAGGTTGCCTTCTTCATGCTCCTTCTATCATGCTCCGTGACAGATTACTAAACAGGGCTGGATTAGTGACGAGTCACATCAATGACAAGTATCAAATAACGCCAGACACGCCCACCAAACGCCCACAAATAAGCCTAACTAGAGGTACTAATGCTAACTTGGTTACTAAATCTACGACTGCCAAGAAGGATCACGACCGGCATGTCTGGTAAACGTGCGGTGCTATCACAAGATTTACTCCCACCGTTGACGGTGGAATAAGTAAATGCAGAAATGGACCTAGTATCATCTTCGGCAGAATGCAGGCAGCCTGCGCCACCTGAAGCTACAGTCTCAACTGAGGTGGTGTCACTATCTGCCGGAGTGCATTACACTTCTGCACCCCAGAGTACTGGTACGATGAGTGGCGCACAGAACGGTCCTACAAAGGTGTGTAAGGGTAAACAAACTGGCGGAAGCAAGAGCAAGGTAATTGAGTTTACTCAACCACCAATTGAAAAGCCGGTTATGGATCATACTGTAAAAGTACCTAGGTCAAGATCCAAAAAACCGAACTTATACTGTGGGCGTCTACCGGAACCAGTCAGTACTCCTGAGAAACCGATTGTTGTAGTAATCAACCACTTAACAACTGTGTCAACAAGCGGATTATCCCCTCGGGTTGTTCGTTCGAAGCAACTTGTACAACAAATGCGGTAGACGGAATGTAGTGGGACTAATAATGTGGTACGCGAACAATTGTGACATAAGGAATAAATAAGAGGAACTGTCAGTAAGCTGTAAGTTTTCTGATGTGCTTGCGATTACTGAAACATGGCTGTCTAAGGGCGCTACAGTCTGTGGCTTATTGTCTGGCTATTCACAGTACAAAGTAGATAGATCTAGACAGCAGGCAAGTGGTGGCGTACTTCTAATTATCAACAGCCAAAATGAAAATTGGGAAGTTCCATCCTTTATGAAAATAATAGATGTCTAAGTTGTCTCCTGCTTTCTGAGGGTTGGAGGCGGGCTAGAGATAATAATCCGTGCGTACCGTAGCCCTTCCTCCAAGTGAGCAGAGAATGTGCAACTTCTTCGTTTGCTAAAACGGGCAGCAGTTGCTGAGCCAAAATGTGTCATCACTGGGAATTTAAACCTCCTACATGCAGTTTGGGAGCATGCATCTATCACCGTGGGAACGTTAGAGAACGAAAGTGTAAAATGGGTTCACGGAAATGTCTTCTTCCAGTATATCAACTTTCCGACAAGACAGCGTCTCGGTTGCGCTCCTTCAACGCTAGATGTTTTACTATCCAAATATGGCCACTTGTCAACTTTGCTAGCTAAGGCTCGCATAGGTAAGAGTGAGCATTGTGTCATTGCATTCTCCTTAAATAACAAAAGTCTTCCGGAAAAACACCGGCTTCTGAGGAACCTTGGTCGCATCGACCTAAATAAGTTATGGGCTAGAGCACTACAGCTCAATGGTGTTCCTGAATTGGATCAGGCCAGATTAGAACAAAGATGGGGCTTAGTCAAGAGCGAGCTTGTTGAGCTACGAGACGAGTTCGCCCCGCTGCACCCCAGAAAACACTCCAGTAAACCTAGATGGTGGCGCCGCAGAATTGATCGTGCGAGAAAGAAGCGCAACGTTGCTTGTAAGGAATTTCAAGCATCAGGAGGATTTACTTGTTGGTTGCAGTACAAGAAATGTCTCAATGCAGCAGTAAAGATGCAGCAACAAGCGAAGTATAGCTATGAAGTCAGAGTGGCCCAAAATGTCAAAGCAAAAGCAAAGATGGATTATAGTTATGTTCAGTCCAAGCGCACTTTAACGCAAAGAGTTGGTAATATA